TTATCCTACTGCTTGCCTAAATGTAATTGAGTTTAGGATTTCTTTTTTGTAGCAGCCTCTCCTCTGCACTAGCAGCTTGATTTCTGGGAGCCAGGAGGCAGGTTTGTCCACACTGGCACAGTGGCACTGCAGTGGCTGGGGCACCAAATGTCCAGGTCACTCTGTGTCCAGTGTCCATGCCCCATGAGCATGGCCACCCTGGAGTGGCCCAGACACACATGGGCTGCTCAGCAAGGAGCAACTGGGTGCACAGAGCCACGCTGGTTCCACTGTGTGGACGGCTCCAGCAGGCCAGGGTATTTGAGAAACACTGGAAAAGCAGTTTGGGTTTAGACTTTCCCTGCATTTTTAACGTCTGTGCCTGTGAAAACCAAATCCTGCAGGTGCTTATGCATAGGACTGATCTGTGCACCCACATGAAGTCCCCAACTGGGACTCTGTGTTCTCTCTCCATGTCTTCTCCTCCTCTCTACCACATCCCCTCTGCCCTCATCTGCAGTGGCTGGGTGCTGACTGGCAAACCAGTGCTTTGAACCAAAGAATGGAATACAGAAGTCCTGCAGCCAGACTTCTCTGAAATGTTTCCTAGTATTCCTCTGCCCAGTTTGAAAAATCTTTGGGTGAGTGCTGTTGGGCCCCTGAGTTGTGGTGCTGGGGTTTATTTTGGTGTCTCCAGCTGGCTCAGGAGTGCTTTTGGTAACCACATATGGGTGTCCTGAGCACCAGGGGAGTGAAGGCTGGCCAAGGCAGGCAGCTCCCCTCCCTTTTTTTGCAGTATCAGTTGAGATCAAATGGGAGAAATTAATCTGATAGACCTAAACAGAAAAAGAGAAGGTGTAGATGTTCCAGTCTGGGCTGTGGAGATGGGCAGGGTTTGTAGCCATCTATGTGGAATGCTCTGAATGTTTTCTCATGCTCTTTGCACGAGACTTCCAAACTTCTGTATTTGATTTTTTGGGTTTTCCCCACTCTTTCTTTCTTTACCCCTTAGGTCAATTGACATCCAGTCTTTCCAATATTCCTGGTAGGCAGAGCTGTGTTTGCAGGCATTGTTTTGCTCGTGCACCTCCTGCGTGGCTGGTGCCTGCCTTTGACTGATACACAGATTGGAGGAAGGCAAAAGAAGCTCCCTCTTGTCCTCGGTGAAGGGTGTGCTCAAAGGGAAGAGCAGGTTTCAGCAGCCTGAAGGAAAGGCCTGAGAGCTCCTGGTGCCACAGCCAGACTGACACGGTTTCAGTGCACTTTTTGAGAAACAGATGTGTCAATTGCTGCAGGAGTTCATAAGTCTTGAGTTCGTAAGTTCATGAGACTTGCAAGTGCATGAGAGATACTAGGAAGAAAATAAATGGTAAAACAATATTTCAATCTATAGCCTCAGAAAGTCATTTACTTTTGAAATCTAGTTCTGCTCAGAGGTGAAATTCATGTTTTGTTGAATCATGTTATTGTAGTAGTAAGTCAGTGTTGGGAAGGTTTGGTTTTGTTTGTGTAAGAAGCCCTTCCAATAACTCCTCAAACCCCTCATAGCTGTTTTCTTTGTGTCTGATTTTAATGAGTGAAATTTTTTACAGTTCCAAATTTTTTACAATTCCAAATTTACATTTGAATTTTACTTTGCAGTAGGTAAAAGGCTCCTCTTTAACATGGAAATACACATTGTGGAGTATTTAACTGGAAGCCAGTTTCTGTTCTGAGCATATATTTTATGAATAAGTTGCTAGTATCACTTATTCTTATTGTAGATGTACTGCTGCAAATAATGTGATTACTTGTATGACTTGTAGGAGTTTTGCAAAGACTAACACCATGAGACATTAAACCTCTCCCTAAAATATATGAAAAGAAGAAATGACATAAAAATTTTTCTTTGAGAAACAGAGACAGAGGAAAAAAAATAAAGACAGCTGGGTGAAACATGTTTCTGTTGATTTGAGAATTCATGTTTTATTTTGTCTAGCGATCAATATGCATTTTTTTCTTTTTAGAAAATAAAAATACATAATTTGGTTTCCAGTTTGAAAAAACAGAAGACCTATGTTTCCATATTCCACATGGTTTCATTTTGCACTTTGATTTTAATTTTGTGTTTGTGTGTCCTGTTTTCAATACCAACTTCAGTGTTGAAATCCACTGCTTTTGTAATTTTTTCTTTTAAAAGGAAAAGGATGCTGATTTTAGTTCAGATATGTAAAGCACCAGACATGACTCCATGGCTGCTCCTGGTGAAGGAAGAAGCACAGTAGCTTCTGGAACGGCAGCATCAGACCCCAAGTAGCTGTCTCTGCAGTAGCCTTGTGCTGGTGCTGGACTGCTGGCAGGCTCATTTTCAGCAGCACATGGTGCTCTCCCATTTGCTGTACCTCTGTTGAATCTGTCCCATCTGCAGCACAGTTTCCTCTAAAGAGCTCGAGCTTCAGATGAAAATGTAGTTCTCAAGCAGAAAGGAACTGCAGTAAAAGTGGTTGTACTACTAGTTTGTCTTATGATTAATAGCAAGACTTGCTTAGAAGTTAGTCTTTGATTTCCTGTTTAATTGTAGCCCTAAGTGAAATGGGTTTTTGATTTATAGAAAATGCAAAATTGGGTACAGAAAGTTTTAAATTACAGTAACAGTAAAAAAATTTCCCACAATAATCATCCCATATTGTTTCAATTCAAAAGAGCTAGGGCTTGATTTGTGTGGGAAAGAACCCACAGCAGCCAAGTTCCAAATTTGAAACTGGGGAAAGGGGAGGATCAATTACCTCTTTTGAGAGTATAAAAATATGCCTGAACTACAATATGTAATACTTTTATCATATATTCCCTCTCTGGAAGGGTGTGTGTTGATTAATTAATTTAGAATAGCTCTCTTCTTACATGGATGCCATGTAAAAGCAAGTAGAAAAATTGTGTTCAAACATACAACAATATTGGTTAAAAAAACAAAAGCTTTAGGAACAGCAGTGGCTTGTAATCGTGATGGAAAACGGATCTATTCTGTTTTATAATATTTGCTTTATGCAGAATGGTTCAATAAACTGTGAAAGTTCTAACAGCTGTAGTTCAATAACAGTAGCTTTAATAATAGTAGTTTAATTCCTAAGCTGCTTTTTGGGAGTTCTGCATGGCTGATCTCACTTTTGCTGCACCATGTTTGTGTTGACTTTTCTTTCGTTAGACTGCAATGCCTATGTGTGTTTACAGCACTAATCCTAGATGTTGAAATTCTGGATAGTTAAAATATATTCAGTATCAAGGAAGTTACTCCAGGGTGAATTACTTCGCTTTAACGGATGAGACCAAATTCTGCTCTGTTTACAGGGATAAATGCTGAAAAACACTGATCTAACCTATGCAAGTTTGCATGCAAGTTCCTGAGAATGGGAGTTTTTGTCCTTCATATTTGTTTTTTTGTCTACCACGACACAGTTAAAAATAATTCTGAAAATAATAATGCAGTTGTTATTCTGTTGGCTAGCTTGATGGTTTTTAAAATTCTGCTTCACAGTCTCACCTCACATATAGTTTTATTTGGAACACACTGAATACAGTGTGAATATACAGTTTATTTGCAGAATATACAGAATATTTACAGTTTGAATATAAAGTGCTGCTTCTATTCCATTTGATTTGGCATGACCGAGATGTAAAATCTAAACATAAAGCATAGTATTGATCCATTTATAAGCATTTTCAAATTGTACTGCACTTCTTGGATAATTTATTGTTGTAGGATTGGAAAGTCAGGTGAGCTCTGCATTTGTGCTATATCTTGACAGTTTAATCAAGATACAAATTTAGAAACAAATCAGCACTGTCTTTTATATAGTGCCTCTAAATCCATGGTAATTTGTACCAGACCTCGGTAACAGGAAAGGATTGCCGTTTCATGCTACCAATACCAGTGGGTGTTGCTCCCCAGCTGCATCTTATAAGAGAAGATGCAAGAGAAATTAAAGGATCCCCACATGCGCTTTTCTGTAACGTACCTTTTGCAGAGTACAAGGTTTATGGAAAATTCCCTTGAATTCAGTGTGTGAGCCGGCTGTAAATAGTGCCATATGTTCTGCATGTTTTAACTCCTACCTTTGGAGAGCACTGGGCAGTTTTTAAGTCAGCTTTCTTTACTTTGTAGTTTCGAAACGTTTAAAAAACATCAAGACTTGTAGTCTACAAACTCAGAACAGGGAGGGGAGAACTCAAGTGCTGCTGGTGCCTACCCTGGCTTCCTCGGGACTTCCCAGAGGCCTGTTTTGGGGAGCTCTGCCGTGCCAGGATGTCCCTTGCAGCACGAGCTCGTCCCTGCATGCTCAGCTCCAGCGTATCTGAGCTATAGGCTGAGGCTGTGTGCGCTGGCAGCACAGATGGAGTGTGCTCTCATTAGGACTGTTTGTTGCCTGTTGGAACACACAGCATATTTCTACCGTGGCATCAACAGTTTCTAAGAACTGAGGTCAAAATAAACAGGTTGCAGTTGGATTCAGGAACAGTCTGGGAATCAACTTAAAATTCCCTGCTTAGGCGTAACCATATTCCTAGATATGTGGGTAAAAAGGCATTCTCATAGCAAGGGCTTATCTGAATTGATGCTTAGTGTATGCAGACCAGTGTGGAGTTGCAGGGGCACAGCCAGTAAATTTTCTACAGATATTGGCGCAGGTGAGCAAAATTGACCTTATTTTAAATAAATGAGCAAATTTAAGCACAGCACTCCTGCACTGTTTCTCCCAGTCTTTGCTGTGCTTGACCAAGTGAAGGTGATGTCCTTGTGCCCGTTTCGAAGGTGTTTTCACCGGGCCTCAGCCTCCTGTGCCAGCACAAATGTTGCTGAAGGCCCTGGCGTGTGCGGGCTCTGTGCAGGAGCAAAGCTGGGGCGCTGACAGACAGCCTCTGGCAAGCCTCCTGGAGCTGCTTTGAGTTGCTACTGCCCCAAACTCCCCACCCCACCCTTTCCCTGGGGATTAGTGCTTCCTCAGCAAAACCCACACCTGAGCTGCCTCATTGCAAACCCACAGGTCTAGCTCTAGCTCTTGGATGGGCATCGCTCACGGCAGAGCTGCTGCAGCACACCCGAGGTCTCAGCCCATGGATTCAGCATGCAGAGCCCTCATCTCCAGCAGCCAGGTGGAACAGACCGCTGGGAAAAGGGAGTTTGGTGTGTGATGGCAAGATTCACCAGTGCCCCTTCCACCATTGGTAAGTGTTACAGGATCAGCCCATACACACACTCACGGTCCAGGTGACATCCTGGCCACACAGGCATGAATGAGTTTTAGCCAGGGATATCAGTGGATGCAGAGTTTAATTTGTTGTGTTTTAAAAGCCAGCAAAATTTTATGAAACAGGATAAATACTTCTGATGATTTTGTCTTGAGTAGAGATATAAATAGATTTGCTTCCTGACAGAAGCAGCAAGAATCAATTGTAAGGGCTTACTCATATTTACCTGGTCACAGTTCATTTGCAGCCAAAGGAACTATCCTATTTGTTGAGCTGCAAACACAAAAAGGTGTAGCAATCTGCTAGTTGTTAGAAAATGGTCTCATGGGATTTGGTGTTTTTTGGGTGAGGAGGGTTAAATCTAACTCTAGTTTCGGTGGTTGAAATTTTTTTAAAAAGTAATTATTTTCCTTTTCAGAAATGAAAATGAGCTGCATTATATGCAAAACAATAAATGGCTAATGCAGATATGTGTAGTAGAGTAGTGAAAAGAGGTGTCAAAAGGATTATGAAAACTTAGAAGACTGATATAGAAAGACATGTATAATTCTCTTAAAAAAAGGGTAAAAAAGAAACCCTTCCCATATTCTTTGCTGCTACCAGTTTACTACTGTTGCCATTCTTACTTCCCATGGCATGAGGCATTCAGTGGTCTGTATTAGAACCACAAGAATAATATTATCAACCCTTACTTTTCCACAGTGACAGGGAAACAGCACTCCTAGAATGCCTTGTTTTTCGGATATCTTACTATCTCCACAAGGTTTTCTTGGTTCTTGCTGCTGTTCTCCATATGCCTCTACACAGTTTGTGTGTAACAATGTGCCTTTCCATCCTTGACCCTGGCAGGTCTTGTGCAGCCTCATTTATCCTGACCCACCACCTCTTCCCTGCTCACAGACAGCTGCTGAGTCTCAAGCTCTTCACTGACTGTGAATGCAGTTGGGAACAGTCTCCTCCCCCCCACTTTTAAGTTGGCTCTCAAAGCCCATCACAGATGGTCTGTACCTCATACATAATAAAGATTTTTTTTTTTATTTTTTTTTTTCTCAGGCGGGTTTCTGTGAATGTGAGAGGCAGACAGTCTGGCAAGCTTAGACCTGTGTTTTTATATTTTTTTCTAAGTGAGCCTTAAGGGATTTGTTTGCCATAATTTGAAACCCCTTAATAGCTTATGGAGCTCAGTAATATCTTGGTTCCAGAGGCTGGAACCTGATTTGTCCATTTGATATTTTCTAAGGGGAAATTATACACAGTGGCAAAATGGAGTTAGGGCCCAGCTGGACAAGGCAATGAAATTAAGCAGAAGCATTCCAGGAACTAAAGCAGTTGCTTTAAGAAGGTGGTCTTCTAATAAGAGTATGGTAGGTTTGTGCTAACTTGTGTGAGTTGCTTTGGGGTCACCTGTTATCGCTGTGTATTTCAAACTATTTGTTAGACTTGTTTCAGTGAGTTCCCTCTGTCCTATTTTCAGACTTGAGCAGTAAAATCTGTATACCAAAATGTACCCAGGACCTCATGTAAGAGCCTAAGGAGCATTTTCAAATGTCAGATAGTTTGGTTTCTAGGTAGCTCAACAGTGCTGCTTCTTAGTTCCCTTGTGTATGGTTGTATTGGTGGTGTTATGCTCAGCATTCCAGGAACCACAAAAACAGGTCCATTTGTGGAAATCTGCTTCATGGGCCAGGCTGGCTCTGGGCTTCTGTTCTGCATGGAAGCTGTCATAGGGTTCTTCCTGATGTCTGCACTATGCTTTGGAAGCTGAAAATGTAGAACCTATGTGGAAATACATTTATACCAACAGTTTCAGCAGTGGTTTTGACCTCAGTGAGAAAAGGTATATCAAGGTGAGGCATGGAATTGTATTTTTTAAAAGTTAAGGGGGAAATGTCTTAAACTAAATTGGATTATGTTCATGCTGAGGAAAAAATTTTAACAGGTGTTTCACTCTTCTATTGTGCATCTTAAATGGCTTTTGTGTGTGTGTGTGTGTGTTGTTACTCATTGTATAGAAACAATTAAAACCGACCCTGAACTGTAAAGTATTTGCTAAAATACTTTAAGGTTCAATTGTCTGAAGCTCTTTGCTCTCAGAAGGAAAAAAGTCCCATGGATGTCAAATAAGACACTTTTCCAGGACCTGAAGGGTGTCAAGAGTAAGGGTCTCTGAGCTGTGAACAGAGCAAATAAAGTCTTTTGAGAAGAGATGAGCTCCAGAGAACATTCCAGTTAGGCAGCAATGGTAAGCAGCACAGGGCAGTCATAGGTTCATCCTTCAGTGTGGATCTAGTCACTAGACTAGAGGCATCTTGGGAGACATCTAGTCCAGCATCCTGCTCAAAGCTTGGCCAGCTGAGACCCAGTGGCTCAAGGTTTTGTTTAGTTAGGTCATGAAAGCCTCCAGGCATGGAAACTGCACAGCCTCTGTGCAGCCCCTTCCACTGCTTGACTGACTTCATGGCAGAAGGGTTTTTCATTGTTTCTAACCTGAACCTTTCATATTTCAAATTCTGTCAGTTGTCCCTTGTTCTCATGCCACACCCCACTGTGTGAATAGCTTGGCGCTGGCTTCTTCTAGCCTCCTGTTGGGTGTGGAGAGGCTGTTACCAAAGCCTACTCAGGTCCCTTAGCCCCTTCTCACAGGTCTGATGGTCATCATGGGGGTCCTTCTCATTCTGTACACTGTAGTATTGTTCAGCAGGCTGAGGAGTGGCACAGGAGCTTCTCAGGACAGTGCTGGGGCTGACTCATGCTGTCCCATGGGATGCTGGCACCAGGACAGGTGGGGTGGCTCCCTTTGAACTGCATCACTCTTGTCCAGCCCCCTTAAGGGGTGTGGGTATTTTTGCTGACCATCAGCTGGAAGCAGTGCCAGGAGCTGATGCTGTTGGCTGGCCTCAGCCTTCGCAGCAGATTCCTGGGTTAATAGTGTGGCGTTACTAATTTCAGGTATTAATATATAAAAATATTAGCTTGGATTCAAAAATCATATTTTAAATGCTAGAAGATGTTAAAGCACTGTAGAATTTTTTTGCAGAGTGGTTTTTGAGCTGCTGAGATACAGGTTTTAAGCATAAAACACAACAGCTAGAGATATACTTAGTCTTAAAAATGGTTAGGTGTCATGTAATTGCATAACTGCAGAACCCAAGGCTTTAAGAACAATACTCAGTATCATCGAATTGTGATTTGATTTAAAATAAAGCAACATCAATAAGATCAAGAGTCTGCTGCTTTTGTAAAGCAAATGTTCATCTAAGAGGGTTTTTTTCAAATAGTGAACCACATCTGTAAAGTTCTGAAATGATAGCTGCTATTATGTGCTCATCTGCTTGGCACAGTAATTAAAGTATACTTTAATGCTCTGAGACATGTGTTCAGAAGTATGGATTGAAATAATCACTCTGCCCCTATAGAATTTGCTTGCTGAGTCCAACAGCATATGTGTTGCTATAGAAAGCTGTGAGTTTGTATATCGTATGTGAATACAGTTACATATGGTGTTTCGTATGTTTTATTAAATCTAAATACAAAAATAAATTTTGTTTTGCGGGGTTATTTACATATTTATCCAGTGTGGGACAAGCATTTTTACAGGTAAAACTTGCACTGTAATAACCACTAAAGGTGGAATTGTCAAGCTGCTCAAATACTGCTCAAGGAGTTTTTGAGGTGTCTGCAAGCATTGTGTGAGCAGGGCAAGCGGAATTCCTACCTCTGTGAGGTGTGGCTCACCCAGGGCCAGGCTGGCACACCCACAACAGGTCCCTCATGGAGCACCAGGTGCAGGATGGGTTTGTGTCCAGCTGAGCTGTGTGGAGGAGGCCTGTGGCTGCTGAGAGATAATTCTGCAGCCATTGATGAGTTTATGTTAGATTTAAGCTTGCAGTGTTGACTCCATCTTCAGCTCCCTGGACATAGGACACAGTTGTCCTGAGGAAGTCTCCAGTGTGAGTTACCAAGTGAGGTGCCACCTCAGCCTGTACCGTGGTTACTCTGCCTGCCAGAAAAACTTAGTGATAAGTATTCGACAAGATGCTTGGGGGATGGTGATGTCACCCCTACACCGGCCAGTTCACCAGGTCAAGTTTGCTGTGTTATTTTACAGGCTACATGACGTGTAAGTCAGAGAGCAGGTGTGGTCCTCCCCACAGCACTGAAATGCACATGGTGTGCAGCTCAAAGCACTGCTTCTGTCCCGTTTCCCACTGCAGAGAACTGCTCTGCTTCTCCAGTGTCTGTAGGCAGCAGCTGGAGAGGTGCTGCTTTTCCTGGTGGCACAGTGCAGTGTTCTGACAAAGAGCAGTGCTCTGAGCAGTGCCATCGTGAGGCTCATGCATTGAGAGAGAGGAGCAGTGGGTTGAGGACACAAAAAGAACAAAATCATTGTCAGGGGGATTGAGAATCACTGCCCTTGCAAACTTAAAATGTGTGCACAAAAAATGTCCTTTTCTTACCTGCTAACAACTCTGACATAGGACCCAGTTAAAAACATTGGTTGTTTTTGCAAAACTGTGGCTTCTATACTCTCACTGGTCTGTGTATGTTTAAGATCTAAATGTAGTGTGCAGGCAGCCTTTCTCTTACAGCTATCAATGATATCCTGCCCCAGAGTTACAAAAGCAGAGAAAAGAAAACCCTCACAGATATTTACTGCTCCAGTTGATACATAGTTGCCTGTTTCTGGGTTGTGAAAGTTATCTTTATTATCTTTGCAGCGTATCAGCCGGATGTACTCACCTTGACAGGAGTGTAAAATTTACAACAGAAATTACTTTAAGACTGGAAAAGCTCTTACTTAACTGAACCATCATTCAAAATGCATTATGAAAGTCACCAAGGAGAAGTTTTCCATCTCACTGTCTGCAGGACTCCTGCAGGTCTTCTGAAGCTTAAGGTAAAATTAAAAATAAAGAACAAGCAACTTAGTTGCAAGGTAGAAGCTGGTAAGAAGTGTGAAGGTATAATTCTAGGGCAGAGAGAATTCTGTTTGTGCATTGACTCCTGTCTACATGAGCAATGGCATTGAGAAAATTTCAGTGCAATATTTGTTAAAATAATCAAGCAGAAAGAACGATAAGCCAAACTTTACTACCAGAATGAAATAGATATAAATGTATATACAAAGAAATTGCTTAGTATTAAAAAATGAAAGGATGTATCACATTTTCTTTATTCTTTTGAAAATATGTGTCAGAGTACAAAGTGTTTAACAATGAAAAATAAGTGTTAGTGTAAACCACTGAGTAGGACATAGTATTTTGTCTTGCTTGTTCCAGAGAAATAGCTGCAGTATTTGCACTGTGTACAGTTCATGCCATTGCGTGCCCTTTGTGATTTTGTTTTGTGTTTTGTGGTGGTGTCCATTATCTTACATTCGGTGAATTAAACTCCTCCAGTGTATTTCCTTATTTCTCTGTCAATGTAGTACAGGCCGCTGGGGTGTCATCAGGATCCCTTCTCCATCACTGTAGTCATAAGATTTTATATAAAGAGCATTTTCCAGAGGCTATCAGTATGTTCTCTTCTACATTACTTTTTTTCTCTGGCTTGTTTTAGGTCAGATATATATAACTAAAACACATTCCAGAAATCTTGTTTTCTAAATGCGTGTTGGGCACGGTTGTTAATGTTGCAGGTTTTCACATTCAGGGTAATGTAAGATGCTGCTTATAATAAATGACAAATAATGGAATGCTCACTTTATAGCCTTAGTAGTTTTGCCTGGGCCTACAAACAGACATTATTTTTCATTTGTTTATAGACAGACAAGTTTATAATTAAGACAGTAATGGGCATAAGCATTCTTGCAGCCTTTGTAGCTCATCTTTCTTGTAAGCATCAAAGAGAATATTTGTGGTGGAGCGCACAGTAATAAGTGTGGGGGAATCAACAGCATACAGATTCATTTGTTTGTTTATTTGTTGAATCTGGTTATCCCCTATCCTCCCATCATCTGTGCCTCTGCAATAAAGGCATGCCTATTTTCTCTCTTTGCTATCATTCCAAATGTTGTAGATAAGAACGATAGCTGGACACAAGTACCACACTGTGCACCCCAGAACACCAGAGGTATTAATAAACACAGCCAAAGACTTGTGTAACCATTACATCAGTGTCCTATTTCTGGAAATGACTACTGTAAATTACCATTTGGCTGAGGAATCCATCGTGCTGATCTGGAGCCTGCATGGCCCAACTGTGGATTACATCAAGCACATGAAAAAGCTGCCCAGGAATCTTGGCACAGAATGATATTATTTTGTTTTGCATAGGAAGCGTGTGTGTTCATGCATACATGTGTATAAATATGTAAAGTGGTTTGGATTGCCTATGTCTGGAGGGCAGAGTCCTGTTTGTGGCAGACTTTTTAACTTCAGGGGTTGCACATCTTTTATGTCAGCTCTGAGGCACTTGAGATGAGCTGAAATATCAGTCCTGGGGGGTCACTGGTGTGTAAGAGTTACCGTAGCACAGTTTCTGTACGGGCCCTTAGAGAATCTATGACTTGATTGCTCTCACAGCTTGGTCCAAACCAGTTTGTATTTATAGGCTGTGAAGCCCATTTATCTTTGCAACACCTGGGGACACCAGTTTGGGGCTGTGTATCTGATGAAAAGGTACTTGGGGGTCAGGAGTTTTGAGGTCTATTAATAATTATCTAGAGGGATGACTTCTATTGAGGAAATATTACCAGTTTGATGATTTTTGTCTTGGTTTATGTCTTTATTTAATGCCAGCAGTGTTAAAAATCTGATATTTGTGTGTCCATATATTTTTCACTGAATTTAAAACACAAATATCTTACCATAAGAATCTTCTTTTTAAAACTGGAGAGAAAGAAAAAAAGATCAGTCTGGTTAAGAGGTGGCTGTTCTTATTAAGAAAACAGTGAGTTATTACTGTTACCTCTGATGTGTCTAAGTCTACTCATACATGTATCTCTTTAGGGCTAGACCTCAGAATAAATTTGCAAGATCAGAAACTAAATTAAAATCTTCTAAAACTTGATTCTCATGTATTTTTAAGGAAGTGGTCTATTCCAAGAACTCTAATGTATGAAATCTTGTTAAGATTAAAGTCTCTGGAGACTGAAGTTCATTTTTTGGGGAAGAAACACAGTTAACAATAAAATCAGGTAATGCCCAATGATATTGTCACAAATAATTAAAATAACTTCGTAGTCAGAACATCGTCAGTGTGTACAGTAAATAATAGCTGAGAGGAAAGGCTGACACCATGCTTGTTAAATTACTTGTAAGTTAATTTGGATGTGTTCAGGTGAAGAAATAGGTTTGCTTGTGTGGGATTTTTCTTCTCTCAGCTGCAGTTTTCTTTGTAATTCCACAAGAAACAAATAAACTTGGCTTGTCAGACCCACCTGTGAAAAGCAGATGCCCTTGTAACCAAGCGATCTTCACTCAGCTGGTGAGCAATGAATACAGAGAATGGACGGTGCAGTTGTTCCAATATTAAATTGCTCTTGTGAGCCTTTCAAGCAGGATTTCTTTCCAGCCCACAGGAAATGACTGATAATCTTTTTTTCTTTTTCTTTTTTTTTCCCAGAGAAAGAATGTGCTGGGGTAGAAATACAGTATGTAACATAAAGATTAATACATATCCTAAAGTTAGGTAATTATAAAGGTATTGACTTTCTCAAACTAAAATGAGAGTACTAAAACAAGGGAAGTTAATTGTGGGAGAGCCCAGTTGCCTCTTAGCGTCATTGTTATCTGTTCTTTATTGCCAAACTTAAAATACTGCCAAACTTAAAATATTTGGGGTGAACTTCCAGTGCTGAATGTATTATTCAGATTTGCTGCTATAGGCAAGTTCAGTCATAACAGTTGACTTTTCTTGAGCAGAGGGCAGCCTTTCCTTTGGCATCTTTTAAATTCTGAGAACTTTGTGCTTTAACTATAACCTTTTTATTCTCTAAAGAAAATCTTCATTTGTGCAGTCAGCTGGCTGATTCAATCTCCAACTGAAAAATGATCACAAGATGAGTGTAGGTTCCTTAGAATTCAGTCCTATTTCTGATGGGTTTTAAAAAGCACCGACAGCTTTAGTTAAACAGAGCAGTGGTTTTCAGTGTGTGGCTCTTTGTCTCTGTACAGGATTCCTGTACAGGAGGTCCTATGAGAAAAAGCTCTATCAAACATTGGAAAAAAAAGAAATTTTATTTTAAGATTTTAAGGAGAAAAAAGATCTTGCAAGAAATAGCATAAGAGGATACTTATACTCACTGGGTAACCAGGAGAAAGGTAGAACAGGAGAAATGATAATTTGGAGTATTTTGGGCAAGTCATGATCTTGAAGATTTTGGTATAAGTCATGTTTTTAATTTTTCTTAAATATGGTATTTTTTAAAATTACCACACAGGTTACCAAGTACTTTTGTAGTCTCATAATATTATTTTGCTATTTCCAATAACTTGTTTATATTAGTAATCAGTTAAACCAAATTTTTAAACAAACAATGATTAGCATATGTGAATTCTTATCTCTGGAAGCTCCATATCCAACTAAAGAAAAATATGAGATAGATAGTATTCAAAGAAATTGATATACCTGTGTTTAAAGTACCCAGAAGCATCATTTCTCTGTGGCTGATGAAATGAGATGGGTCAGTTTCCCCACCTACTTTACAAGCCTGCTCTGGATGGAGGGGGGATTTCTGGAAATGCCTGTGTCCTCATCAGGTATGATAAGTGCCCAGTCCTGGGCATCCCATGACCAGCAGGTTGAAGTCCCAGGGGATAACCCACACACCCACATTACTTGGAACTAGAACCAGTGCCTGTTGAACTGGCTGGGAAAAGGTGTATTGCTTTTAACAGGAGAATTTCAGGACGCTTCTGGTCAGTCTTTAATTTTTCCTTTACACTGAACCACAGGATCACAGAACTATGGAATGGATTGGAATGGAAAGGACCTTAAAGAGTTCCACTCCCTGCCATGGGCAGGGACACCTTCCACTATCCCAGGTTGCTCCAAGCCCCATCCAGCCTGGCCTGGAACACTTCCAGGGATGGGATAGCCACAGCTTTTCTGGACAACCTGTGCCAGGGCCTGCCCACCCTCACAGGAAATTTCTTCCCAATACCCCATCTAACCCTGCCCTCTGTCAGTGTGAAGCCATTCCCCCTTTTCCTGTCACTTCTCTGACTTCAGGTGGTCTGAGATGGGGGATATTGGCTTTAAAGAAACCCAGTACAGATGCTGAGTAAAACCCCACCAGTTCTGAGGTCATTGTCTCCGTTGTCTCACATTTTCAAAGACTTCAGGAACTTCCAGCCCAATGTGTCTGTCAGGGGATTGTAGCAATTATTGAGATGGGCAGCAGAATAGGTAAAGGTGGAATGCTCAAGGAAGATAGTGGAGCCCTTTTTCAGGTATATCTGATATTCTTTGATGAAACCTAGGGATACAATACTCGGGATATGATTCTTATATTTTGTTGAAAGTTTTTAGATTTTTGTTTGTTGTTTTATGGGAGGGAACTGTTTTCTGGTCTGTGAAGACTCCAGAGTGCACAGTGTTGTTGAAAAGTGAGTTTTAAGGACATGTTTTCAGTGTAAATGTGAAGCTGCTGGTCACAGGCACACAGACTGCCCTAAACTCTTAAGTTCACACAACATTACTACAAATACTACTTATAAGACAGTAGTTTAAAGAAAGTGCAGTGTATCTTTCTTCCATTTCTAGATATGATTTAGCAGCCTGACATGATCAGTCAACACCATGTAACCACTCAGCTGTCTTTGGAAGAGCCTCACAGATCACAGGCAAGTTTAGGGCTCCTGAGCTGGCTGGTGTAATCAGGACATCCGTCTATAAAACTGGTTTCGTACAACCTGGATTCAAGCAATTACCTGGTATCCTCTTTGCTCTTTT